AGGCCGGTTTCGAACTCCTGAGCTCAAACAATCCGCCTGCCTCGGCCTCCCAGAGAGCTAGGATTACAGGCGTGAGCCACCGCGCCCGGCCTGTCCTTCTGTTTTTAATACATTTCATATAATTTATGATTGGTTTAAGAGTCATTTCCTCTTTAAGTAATTTTTTGAGTCATTTAGTATCTTAAGTTATACCTAACTTTGTGAGCTTTCTTGTTTGTATTTAAATCACCTTTCTAATTATATTTGTAAAAATGTAAATGTTAGATTATGCACTGATAGGCACCACTCTCTTTAATAGAAAAGGTTAGTTCAAACAAATATTGGACTAAACTGACAAAAGAAATGAAATCGTTCTTCCCATTTCCAGTTCCTTGTCGATCTGTTATATTGCTACATATTATACTCTAAGTGCCTATGGGTATCCACTGTATTCTCTAGAGCCCTCCAAATGTTTCCAGATCTTAACCAGTTGCACAAATCCTACTCCAGAGAGGTTCATATAATTGTCCTTATCACAACTCAATTGATATTCAAAAATGCAAAACAATCAAGTTAGAAGGAAAATGACTACCATCCACTTCCTCTCTCATTCAATGTTAGTTCTCACCTATTTCAACCATAAATACAATTGTATTCAAAATGATGAGGAAGATGATAAAGTTCGTGAAGAGACGACCTGTTTTGTCTTAAGGAAACACAGAGAGTGGAGTTCTGATTTGTGTAGCTGAAATAACAAGGGCAAGAATAAACGCAGTGATAATGAGAAGACAATGGAGTCTGGGAAGGGAAAAATAAGTCATCAGGCAGATGATGAACAGCCATGGATAAAATGAGTGACATGAAAGGATACACTCAAGAACCCATCCAGCCCACAAGGAAAGAGGTGGCCTCCGACTGCAGCGTATGCGAAGCCTGCTCAACATTCTTTGGGCATATGAAATCCGTCCTTCATGTTGAGGCTTTATGGAGAAGCGCACTAGCTGGTGTTGATCTCCCAACATAAGTTTCTGCTGACGGGAAGGATCTATAACAAGTGTTTTAAAAGGATAGTGAATAAATACAGAGAAGTAGGTTTGGGCAGTAATACTGGCCCCCCCTAGTGTAGGGGCTTGCCTCACTGCTGCTCCTTCTCACATCAACTCAGAATCCTGTTAGTTTGGAGTGAGAGCCAATGTATTGCTTACGACCAGCACTGTCCATACCCATGAACAAAAGCAGCAGATTCGACCCTCCAAGTTTTAAGTGTCTTTGGTAGAAACTTTCCCAAGTCGGCCAAGGCTAGTAGCTATCTTAGGCCTAAAAGTGAGTGACATGAATTCTATCTCCTGGATTCAAATAGTTTTATATATAAAGCTCTTGATTTATCAAGTTTGGTGTAATCTCTAAACCAGTAATCAAACCAACCTCCCTTGAATTTTCCACCCTTAAATTTGTCTCTCTTTGGAGGATGTGAATAGGAGTCTTAAATTTAGACTAGTAAAGAAATAAGTTGCTGACCAAAAAAATCCCTGATTGTGTGCCGTGGCACAGCTTGATTCAAGCCTTGCAAATGCTCGATGAGAGAAAAAGTATCAATGAGACGTGAACGAATGGCATCAGCTCGGGGCAGCTGCACATGCCCTGGTTGTTGATAAGCGGCCATGTCTGTTAAGAAAATGGAAGAATCAAGTGTCATTTCACTCTTACACTTGCACCAAGGATTAGCGGTTTTCTGCCCCTCCTCCCCACCCTCTTTGCCCTGAAGATCCCTTAAGGTGCCCAAATCTATGAACTAGGAGCAGTTGGAAAGAACACATCCTCCTAAGACTCAACGTTTTTCGAAAACCAAAGGGAACAGGAGTCGTAAGAGATACTATGCAGTCGACCAAGTGGCAAAGCACCTTCACTTTGTGGCGGCATTTCTAATAAAGAACTCATTTTAAAAAATATATAAAAATGCAGCAGACATAATAGAGGGACGCGCGCCTGGACAAAGAAAAATCGGGCCCCACCTGGACCTGAGGGAATCGGGCCATGAGGTGGGGCAGTGGGAGGGCTTAGGTTGCCCCCTAAAGGAAAACCTAGTGAAGAGGAATTGGACAAAATGTAAAGGCCTGACGTTTTGAAAATGTGTCCAACTCAAAGTGTGTCCAGCCAACACACTCTTGGGGGCCATCTCCTTCTCACCCCAGTTCCCGCTTCTGGGCCTCACCTCAGCCCAGGTTCTCTCCGCCCACTCGGCCTGACTACACTCCTCCGCCTCCAGCTGTGGCGCCCCCTGAGCTCGGCTCCGGCCCACGCAGGGCGAGCTCAGCGCCAGCTCCCAGCCTCGCGGTGCCGCATTCCCAGCTCCGCCCTGCCCAACCCCCAGGATCCGGTGAGCCCCAGGTCCAGCCCTCGACCCTGACCCTAGCCCCTAGCCGAGGACCCGGCCCAGCCAAGCTCTGCTCGGCGTTCGCCGCTCATTGCTGGCCGCTTCGGCCACGCCCCACGCTCCGGCCGCCCGGCAGTTACCAGCTGGTCCCGCCCGCCCGACGCAGGCGCCGCGCAGCCAATCCGTGGCTGCCACACAGCAGCCCGAGCCGGCCTGGGGGTTGGGACATCCGACTGCAGGTCCGCCTGGGCCAGACGCGCGAGCGCAGGTAGCGTGTACGTGGTTGCTGTCCCAGCCTTTGCAGTCCCCGCCGAACCCCGACCCTCCCGGCCGCCCCCGCCTCACCTCGCCGCCATGCGCCTCCGCCGCCTAGCGCTGTTCCCGGGCGTGGCGCTGCTTCTCGCTGCGGCCCGCCTAGCAGATGCCTCCGACGTGCTGGAACTCACGGACGACAACTTCGAGAGTCGCGTCTCCGACACGGGTTCTGCGGGCCTCATGCTCGTCGAGTTCTTTGCCCCCTGGTGAGGCCACTCTGCCGGGGCGAGGGAGGGAAGACCAGGCTGGGCCGGGGGCTAGGGCGCGGGGAACGGTTGGGCCTACGCAGCACCGGCGCTCTCCACTATTCCTGCGGGCCCCGGCTGCCGCCGGCACATTTCCCACCCCCGGGAAGCCGGAGGTGCCTCGCTGAGAGCGGAGAAGTCGGTGCTGATCGGCTGGGAACGACACCCGAGAAGGAAAACCCGAAGGCTCCTCTCACGCAGGGCCACATCCTTAACCTCGGTGCTTTTGCGGCACTTCCTATTTGCAGAGGGTTTAGCCACCTCCTTCACCCTTTCCCCCTTCGATATGTATCTTAACAGTTTCCTGGGTTAGTCAGCATAAATGTTCTCCAGTCTACAGGCCAGGCATCCCCAAAGCCTTATAGTGGAAGCGAACGTTTCACCAAGTGCAGAAGTCTTGGATCCCAGGGTATTTCCTTCCTTCTTGCCCCACAGCCATTGCTTTCTAGCCAAGGTCACTCAGTGGCTGCAGAATGGTCATAAGTGCTTTCTTGAGGCAGGCAATTATTTTATCCATCGCATGGCGTGCAATTTCTGCATTAAGCGGATCACTTATTTCTCAGTACTGGCAGAAGACCTCTGTCAAAATAAAAGAGTAGGTGAACAAGAGTAATTCATTAGAATCTGTCCAAATTCTGAGTTTTCAGTTTTAATTAGGATTTCTGAAAAAAAATGACAAAGACTCCACAATGAGAAAGTAGCCAGTGTTGGACAAATACTCCATTTAAGGGTGACTTAATTGAACAAGGGTGTAAATTCCTTAGGATAGAGCTAACTTGAAATAAAAAACTGTCTTGGGGGAAACGGAGAGCAAATAGGATTTCTGCCCCAGTCAGCCTGTTTGTTTATTTTTCCTAAACCTCCAAATCCTAACCATAGCAAACTGATTATCTTAACCTTGGGGTAGCTCAATATATCCATGCTAATTACAGTACTTAATTTTTCCCCTTCTGACACAATGACCCCTAGTTAAAAACTATCTGTATTTAAAAGTATCAGTGAAAAAAAAAAAGTGTGTAACTTTTACTTGCTTCAAACTCAGGTCTTCACTCTTCAGGCTAAGCTGACCTGTTGAGGGTTACTCTAAAAGTACTGTAGTGAAGACCATCTGAATCAGAAGGATGTGCAATTTAAAGTAGGAATTGCTGGAGAATTGTGGGCCATTAGACTGTTAGTTTAAAGCAGAATTTTTTTGTTTCAATTGAAGGCATTCGTTCCTACTTTAAATTGTTGCACGTGCTTCCCTAAAACTACATATCCCATCATGCACTGAACTGTCCCTAGAATTGGGCGGATCTCTGCTGTGGTGTCTGCTTTTAATTGGTTTAAAAGAGAACGTCATCCTCCACAATGCCGGCAAGAAAGATCAGTTTTCTGTGTGAGCAATTCTGAGTCAAGGAAGTCTCCTGTTCATAATGTCTTTATTTCTTCACAGTCAACTATAGTATTTTTATTTATTAACACTTAAGCTGGAAATGTTTTCTGACTGCTATATACCTTTTTAAAGATCAGGAATATATCTCGAAAGGTAGATGGGAACAGTTAAAGAATCTTTGTTAAAGAGTAAAATGGCCCTATTTTGCTGCTTTTCTTTTCTTTTTTTTCTTTATCACCCCACAGATCATTCATTAAGGAAAAAATGGCCCTATTTTGAGCAAGTTCTTTTTCTCATTTGAGGTTTTTTCCACTTTCATTTTACAAGTGAAAGTGAAAGCTTTCTTTGCAGTTGATCTTGTAGACTAATATTTCCATTATGGAATTAATCATCTGTATAGGATGAGAGTATCTGGATTTCTCTGAGGAAATAAATAGCACTATTTAAATATTTGATAATTTCTGAAAATTTATTGATTAGTGTTGATTATAAGTCTTCAACATCGACTTATGTTGTAGATGTGTGTGCTACCCTCTAGGACAGTAGTAATAAATAATGATATATGTGCTGATTCCTTTACTTGAAATCCCCCCTACCCTCCAATTGATCTCTTCAGCATGAAGATTTAGCTCAAAAGTTAACTTTTTCGGCCGGGCGTGGTGGCTCACGCCTGTAATCCTAGCTCTCTGGGAGGCCGAGGCGGCCGATTGTTTAAGCTCAGGAGTTCAAAACCAGCCTGAGCAAGAGCGATACCCTGTCTCTACTAAAAAAAAATAGAAAGAAATTATCTGGACAACTAAAAATATATAGAAAAAATTAGCCGGGCATGGTGGTGCATGCCTGTAGTCCCAGCTACTCCAGAGGCTGAGGCAGGAGAATCACTTGAGCCCAGGAGTTTGAGGTTGTTGTGAGCTAGGCTGACGCCACGGCACTCACTCTAGCCAGGGCAACAGAGTGAGACTCTGTCTCAAAAAAAAAAAAGTTAACTTTTTCCTTCCCTGGACAACTAACTGGTTGATCCTTCCTCTGTATTGGTACCTAATAATACTATCTGTCACCCTGCCAGACTGGTGCTCCTATGGGGAAAGGACTGTATCAATTTTTCTATCAGAGGCTAAAGAAGCATTTGGCTCATGGCAGGCATATGAGATAATGATTCTTGGGTGAATATATATGGAAAGCCATTAACTGCTAGGTGCCATCACTGAGGGTAGATGGGACTGTTTATGCTTTAATATTTTCTAGGGGTGGGTGAAAACTTAATGGTTGGTCTTGATGGATCTGTGTAACTGACCCTTATTTCCCTTAAACTCCACCCGAGTTCCATTCCTGCTGTATTTAAAGAGGGCAGTCTCCAGCCTCATTGGAACTCTTTGTGCATTTGATGACTTTAAGGATATTGCTGGCAGGGTGTGGTTGCTCATGCCTGTAATCGTAGCACTTTGGGAGGCTGAGGCAGGAGGATCACTTGAGGCCAGGAGTTTGAGGTTGCATGAGCTATAATGATGCCACTACGCTCTAGCCAGGGCGACAGAGCGAGATTCTGTCTCAAAAAAAAGGATATTGCCAAAGTTTAGGGCAATGGTTTTCAGTCCCAGCCTTGCAGCTTACACATACACCTGTCCTTCCCGGATTCCTGGAGATTTTCATTCAGTAAGCCATGCATACTGTTTTGTTTTAATTCTCTGTGGATATTTTTTATTCATTTATAGTTGACACCCACTGGCCTTACCTAATAACTGTTCCATACAGTTTTTTTCTCTTCAAATGTTTGAAGATAGTTAAGGTGAAACTATTAATTCATAATTCTGTTTTGCCTTCGCCTTGACCAGGAGTTTGAGACCATGTTGGACAACATAATGAGACCTTGTCTCAAAAAATAAAATAAACCTTTATTATGGTCTGGGCGTGATGGCTCACACCTGTAATCGTAGCACTTTGGGAGGCCAAGGTGGGAAGATTGCTAGAGGTCAGGAGTCTCGAAAGAATAAAACCCCATCTCTACAAAAATGTCAAAAAATTAGCCGGGCATGGTGGCAGACACCTATAGTCCCAGCTGCTAGGGAGGCTGAGGCAGGAGGATTGCTTGAGTTTGAGATTGCAGTGAGCTATGATGACGCCACTACACTCTAGCCCAGGTGACAGAGCAAGACCCTGTCTAAAAAAATAAATAAAATAATCCTTACTGTGTACCCCAGATAAATTTATTTCTCAGATAAATTGGTTATTTTATTATATTAAATCAATTGTAATTTGCATATTTTGGTTGCAACCCAAGTATACCTAATATCAATGTTTAAGTTTTTATGCAAAATTAAAGGAATACAGAAGATAATAACAAATAATACCTTATTTCAAATAGGAGCCTTTGTGTGTGTGTGTGTGTGTGTGTGTGTGTGTGGTTGGTTTGATTTGAGACGAGGTCTCTGTTGCCCAGGCTGGATGGAGTGCAGCGACAGCATCATAGCACAATGCAACCTCAAACTCCTGGGCTCAAGGGATCCTCCTGTCTCAGCCTCCCAAGTAGCTGGGACTATACATGTGCACTACCATACCCAACTAATTTTTCTATTTTTTTGTAGAGATAGGGTCTCACTATGTTGGTTAGGCTGAGGAACCATTATTTTATGTCTCATGAAGAAAAAAATGCCACCATTGAAAGTATGATTACAAGACATATCTCAATTTCAGAAAAATACACATGTGTGAAATCCATTATAAGGAATGCCATTTATTCACCATTCAGTCAAAAACAAAGCCAGCACAGTTGAAACCTCTTTGTACCTCTTGGGTATCTTATGTGCTCCCTCATGTTTTTTTTTTTTTCGAAGGCAGAGTCTTGCTCTGTTGCTCAGGCTAGAGTACAGTGGCAGCATCACTCTTGGCCTCAAGCAATCCTCCCGCCTCGGCCTCCCAAAGTGATAGGATTGCGGACATGTGCCACCGTGCCCAGACTGTACTCCCTCATTCTGAATTTAGTGTTTATCATTTGGTTCTTT